TTTATTTAAAATGGGCAAAGTTATTTTTTCTCCTTGTACTGATATTTTTATTTTTTTTTACTTTTGCACAGCTAGGCTTGTAACATATGTCCGAGGACACCTCGGTCATGAGTTGTATGGCCTGACATTCGACTGGCTAAGGAAATGGCTTCTGATGCGTAGTCTAGCATATGCACATTAACACATTAAAGGAGACAAAGACTTTAATGGAATGTAGAAAGTCTTTCTACATTCCATGAAAGTCTTTCATGGAATTTTTCCTTTTTATAAGGAGATCATGAGTATGCACCTTGTCTTTCATCTGTGGCTATTTTTGAGCCTGATTCTGCTCTCATAGTGGAGTAAATCAGAAGAACCTCCATTGAAGCCAATGGAACTACAGTGGTTTAAAGTTGGTGTCAGATCAGAATGAGGCTCATGGACTCTAGTTGGTCTTGCACATTATTACACTGATTAATGGCCTAATTCATTCAAAAATATGTGCAACATTCACTTTACACTGCAGTCTACAGATTGCTTTTTCAGAAGATATGCACACTTTTCTGATTCATTAACTGCATTCAGGCCATACAGAACTGATCGCACTTCTCCATCATGTACCCAAAATGTGGACAAGTTCAGTCCATCAAACGATCCCAAAACATACATAGTAGCAGTCTAGGGTAAAGATATCAGCTGCCATGTTTAACTGACAGTTTAAAAGTTATACAATATTTGCTGAAATCTGTATCGTGCTGTTCAAGAACAATGAAGTGTCATAGCAACAATGCTGTCATATGGTGCGCTCAGTGGGGAAAAAATATTAACACAAAATGTTCACTTGGAACTTGTCAGGCCAGATTCATGCCTGATGAAATTCCAAAGGCTTCCCTGCAGTCCTAGCAAACATGGATTTGGCCACAATGCTTTGAAATAAAATGTTACTTGAAAAACATTTGGTGGGCATGTTCCAGGAGCATGACCTGAACTAGTAGCTTTGTGGTAAAGATTGAGCGAATGAGTTTTATTAATATAACATCATTCATCTTGAAGGATCCCGGTGTATTTTGTAACTTAAAGAATGTGCAGGGATCAAACTACCCATCAGTCAGATGCAACCATTTCTGGGAAAGCAGAGTCTGTTATATTATATTTCTGTCCTCAAATGTACATACTAGCATTAGATTCTATGGGCCATATTTTAAGCACCCACTCATGGACCAAATTTTAAAAGTCCTTGACTTCCATATGAGCACTCAGCAGTTCCCAGTGTGATGCTGGTTTTTTTGAAAAGCTGGCTGTATTTCCTGACCTTATTGAAGGAAGGGTCACAGAGCAAAATGGAATAATTTTGCAACATACGGGCTCTATTATTTATTTTTATTACAGTGGGGCCTAGAAGCCCTAACTGAGATCAGGGTTCCTCTGTGCTAGGCACTATGTAATAAAAGAAAATCCATGCTCTGAAAAGTTACCAGCCCAAGGTCCCATACCCCCCAATTCCTTTTGTGACGGTGAATCAAGTCCCATGTAGTCAGAGTATCTATATTACAAAACCTGATCTCAACTGCAAGCACTTCCACCTTCTACTAATACAGCATCTATTCCCTGTTTCTGAAGGCATCACAACAGAATGGATCAAACAGCAGTCTGCTCTGGTGTTGCAACACTAATTGTACATTTTATTTCCAAAGTCCAGATACCAATATAGCTACCAATCGACCTGGCAGAGAGGTGGAGTATCGCTGACAGGCCCCAGTTGTAAGGCAGCAGCACTGAACCTGAGACCTTTGGAGCTAAATGCATCAGCCTCTACTGCATGAGCTAAAAGCTACCTGCCTCTGAGCCAAGGCTATAGCAGACTCATCAATCTCTAGATAAAAACAACGAGGAGTCCGGTGGCACCTTAAAGACGAACAGATTTATTTGGGCATAAGCTTTTGTGGGTAAAAAAACCCACTTCTTCAGATGCATGGAGTGAAAATTACAGATGCAGGCATAAATATTTATGTAATTTTCACTCCATGTATCTGAATGAGAACTGTTTTAAGCTGGGCCACGAGCCGCACCATGCTGCTTGGCCCTGCTCTGGCGCTCCGGCTGGGGCGCTGGGTCAGGGGCCACACCCCATGGCTCCCGGAAGCTGCGGCATGGCCCTGCTCCAGCTCCGACATGCTCCAATGGGAGCTGCAGGGGCAGTGCCTGCGGATGGGGCAGCATGCGGAGCCATCTGGCCGCGCTGCTGCGTAGGAGCCAGAGAAGGGGCCTCCAGGAGCCACTTGAGGTAAGCGCCGCTCAGAGCCTGCATCCCCTGAGCCTCTTCCCACGCCCCAACCCCCTGATCCCCCCACCCGCTCTCCAAACCCCTCAATCCCAGCCCAGAGCACCCTTCTGCACCCCAAACCTCTCATCCCCAGTCCCACCCCAGAGCCCGCACCTCCAGCTGGAACCTGCGCCCCTTCCTGCACCCCTGCCCCAGCCCTGATCCCCCTCCTGCCCTCCAAACTCCTTGGTCCCAGCCCAGAGCACCCTCCTACACCCCACACCCCCACTCCAGAGCCCACACTCCCTCCTGTACCCCAATCCCAATCCTGTGAGCATTCATGGCCCGCCATACAATTTCTATTCCCCGATGTGGCCCTTGGGCCAAAAAGTTTGCCCACCCCTGCTCTAGATGGTCTAAGTGCCTCTAGAGGGGAACAGAACACCACACCAATCAGGCATGGTTACAGTGGCACTGAGTGATATCCACTACAGTACAAGGGACTGAATCTGATTTCACTTACACCGGTTTACACTTTGTGACTCAAGTGACTTCAGTGGAGTACTCCAGATTTACACCAGTGTATGTGAGATTGGGATCAGACCTGTATAAATTTTGTCTTAGTGCTATAACACATCACAGATTGAAAGTCTTGTTTTTAAGAAGGCAATTTATCACTGGGCTCACCAGGTCCTGGCAGGGCTGTGACTTGAAACCTATTACCAGTGAGAAAATATAATAAATCTTGTGATGAGAGAAATTGCACTGTACTCACTTTACTAACAAAAAACAAACAAACCAACCACCCTGGGCACAATTACTGCATAGTGACACAGAAGTGGGTCCATGAGCCATGAACCCCGAGCCCCAGTGTCCCGCAGGGCAGAAGCCAGGAGCCCGAGCACCCCACAGAACAGAAGCCCTGAACTCTAGCACCATGCGGGGTTAAAGTTGGGAGCCTAGAGCCCCAGCCCCGCGTGGGGCTAAAGCCCTGAGCTCCAGTGCCCCGCTGGGAATCTGGAGCCCCAAAACTGGGAATCTGGAGCCCAAAGCCCCATGAGACTAAAGTCCAGAGCCCACAGAGAGGTAGAGTCTGGGTAAATTTGCACTCTGAGTATCTATGAGGATGGGTAGGGGTGGGAACCATATATTACATCCTGAGTACCCATGAGAGAGGGTTAGGGGTGGAACCTTAAATTGTGCAAGTAACATGAGCCTCAGTGCCCAGCAGGGCTAAAGCCTGGAACCCTAGTGCCCCACGGGGAGGAAAGGTCAAGCTCCCCCCCACACCGCAGGGTTAAAGTTGGGAGTCCTGAGCCCCAGCATCCCATGGGGCAGAAGCTCCAAGCCCCACCACCCTGCAGGACTAAAGCGGGGACCCCTGAGCCCCCGTGCCCCGCAGTTACCTGACCCTGTCAGGTAATTAAGCAAAACTTCTAGGTTTTGTCATTTTGAAAATAGCAATATCAACATTTTCATGAATTTTTTTGCTAGTGCATGAGAACCTGAAAGTGAAAATGACTAGAAACAAAAATGAAAATGTCTAGTCTATTTTCCTTTTCCAAGATGAATGACATTTTAAAAAGGGAACTGGAAAAAACAATAAAAGCAAATTAAATTTTAAACATTTTTTTACTGGGCACACAGGCCAGGGGAGATATTTTCCTTTTAAATATATATATATTTAACCCGAGATGGCACTTTTATAATCTATGGAGTTTTCTTTACTCTTTGCAAATGTGAATAGGGTTGATTTGTTTAGTGCTTATACTGTTCTGGATGTTCTACCTCAGGGGTTCTCAATGTTTTTCTTTCTGAGGGCCCCCGCAACATGCTATACAAATTCCAGGACCCAGCAAGGGGGGGAGAGAGACAGGGCTCCTGGATCCAGCTGCAGGGGGGCTGTCTCTGGGCTTCAATCGCAGGAGGGAGAGAGTCTCAGGGCTTCTGCCCTGCCGGGCTTGGGGGCTTCTGCTCCATGGGGCTAGGGGTTCAGGGCTTCTTTAGCCCCATTAGGCTGGGGGACTTGGGGCTTCTGCCCCTCCAGGTGCCAGAGTTTGGGGTTTGTGCCCTGCAGGACACCAAGGCTCAGGGCTTTCAGCTTTAGCCCCGCGGGGCAGAGGGGCTCGGAGCTCCAGGTTTTAGCTCTGGGCTCCTGGCATTAGCGGCTCAGGGCTTCTGCCCCTCCGGGCACTGGGGCTTGGGGCTCCCGGCTTGTGCCCTGTGGGGTGCTGGGGCTCAGGGCTTGTGGATCCCCTGAAATGGGGGGCTGTGCCCCACCGTTTGAGAACTGCTGTTCCATGGTATACAGTGCTTGATTCGCTGGGTAAATGGGGGGAGTAACTCCACTGAAGCTAACGGGATAAAACCAGGGTGAGTGGAAAATCAAGCCCATGTCTCTAAGGTGCCACAAGTACTCCTTTTCTTTTTGCGAATACAGACTAACACGGCTGTTCCTCTGAAACCAAGGACTTACAGTGTAACAAACAGTGGGGGGAGGGGGCTGGGTAGCAGTTAGCGGGGTTTTTCCTTCTCTTCTCTCCCCCTGCTATTGATAGGTTCGGTTTTTGTGGCCTTCAGGGCCGGAATGACTCCCACATGGACGATGATCAGCAAAGTTCCTGGCCGGTGCAGCTCGGATGGTAACTCACCCCCCGCTAGCTTGGCTTCCTTGGACTGGACAAGCCCTGGGCAGCCCTGGGGCCAGGAGGAACGCGATGTCACAAAGCGGGGAAGAAAGGAGGAGGGAGACTCTCACCGGGAAACAAACGACCCTGGCTCCGCAAAAGCACCCGGCCCAGCCGACTCCAGCCGGGTCCCTTCTCAGGGCGGCGCGAGCAGCCGCCTGCCCGGTTCCCGACGCCTCGTGTCCTGCAATCGCATTTCCGCGCTGCCCCAGCCGGCTGCTGTTTCCAGCTGTGGGGGGTGAGGAGGCAGATCTCCCCCCCCCCCACAAGAGATGGCAGAACCGCCTGCAGCAAACAGCTGGCATCTAACTGCTAGTCAAGCACCGGGCTGCCCGGCTCGGCTCGGCTCGGCTCAGCTCAGCAGCTGCTATGAACCTAACCGTGCCCGATCCCTCCCCCCTCCCCGACTGCAGCTCTGGGGCTGGGCAGTCCCGCGACGGGCGTGGGTCCCGGAGGGCTCCCCGGCCGGAGGGGCAGAGATAGATGCTCATGGAGCCCTTTGGCTCTTTTGTGCCCCCCCCCACCCCACCCAGGCGTCCCCGCCCCAGCCCAGCCCTGCACTCCCGGAGACAAAGGCGGCTCCGCCGCGGAGGGCGAGCGGCGCGCTGACAAAGGAGCGAAGTTTCTTTACCTTGGGAGGTGTCTTTAGTTCCTGCCCGGCTCGCCCGGCTCCAGCAGCTGCTCTCAGTCCGCCTCTGGGCTGGCAGCACCTTCCCCCCCCCCCCCGCCGCCGCCGCCGCCGCCGCCCTGGGCTGCGGCTCCCCGCCTCCCGCTGCCAGCTGCCCGGGGCTGAGCCAGGGGTTTGCTCCCGGAGACAGCCCGGCAGGCAGATGCAAGGCTCGGTTTCCCTCCCGAGACTTTCTGAGCCTCCCTCGCTGCCTGGAAAGCCGGCCCGTCCGCCCAGTGCCCTCGAGCCTCTGGCGGGTGGAGAGCTTCGCCCCTCGCGAGTTCAGCGCGGCTTCAGCATCTCGTGCCACCCTCCCGCCTATCTCGGGGCTTGACAGTGTCGGGGAAAGAAAATGGAAGAGAAAGGGCTTCAGATACTGGATTCGCTGGGTAACGACTGGACTCCTCACACCTCGTCCTTACCTAGTGCTTTGCCCTTTCCAAGCCTTGTGCTGCTCATCCATCAACCCTGTAACCCCCCCCCCCACACACACACACACACACACTCCTTTATGGTTTATAGAGGTATTAATAAGAAGAAGATGGAAATCTGTGGTGTGTTTTCTACCAAATCCTGCGGGGGGAGGGACTCCAGCACTTTCTGAGGTCTTTAAGGTCCAGGCCCGCGGTCTCATGCAGCGCTCACCACTTGGCTAGCTCCAAGGAGCCCGCTTCGGCTTTCGGGCTGGTCTAAAGTAAGGGCCGTGGAACCACGGTGTATTTGAATCTTCCTAGTGGAGTCCAGCACTGAGCAATGGCACTGAATTCAGCAGTGACAGAAGCAGTGGTGTGTATTACACGTGAGGTGTAAGTGGGTTAAAGTAATAATAAGACTTCAGCCTTATACAGTACAGTGCTCTCTTCATCCATTCATCTCAAAGTGGGTTAGGAAAGAAATTGAGCGTCACTCCTTATTCACATTGTCAGAGGGGGAAGCTGAGGCCTTACCTAAATTCACACAGAAGCTCAGGAGCAGAGGCAAGAACAGACCCTGGCCCTCCTAATTTCCAGCCCCCTGTCTTACCCACAGGTCCCCACTCCCACTGGCACCCCTATGCCATTCAGTGAGTGTGCAAAAAGAACGGTTATACTGTAGTTTTGTTTTGTTGCAGTTCTCTGGAAGCACATCTAATCCTGTTTGCACATGTAAAAGCAAGATGCCACTGGGAATGAATGTCCATGCCCAAACTGGCTTGTTAATTGCTGTTTGGCATCCTTAAGCTTCTTCTTCCTTTGTACACATCGCAATATCTAGACTGGTTTCAGAGTAGCAGCCGTGTTAGTCTGTATTCGCAAAAAGAAAAGGAGTACTTGTGGCACCTTAGAGACTAACCAATTTATTTGAGCATAAACTTTCGTGAGCTACAGCTCACTTCATCGGATATGTTCAGTCGTCTAACTGCTACATCGTTGAGGGTAGCAAGGTATTGCCTTTCACCCTCTAATCTAACGGAGCACTCCTCCACCACATGTTTGGCCGTTTGCATCACTGCCCTGCAGTCACACTGTGAAAGATTGGACTAAGCCAAATTTCTTCACTGTGGCAGCTGCTCTGGCTGTTTCAATCAGCAGCCTACTAACCCAAGTCCAGGATCTGCATCCCAGGTTGCAAACATGTGGATGTAAGTTAGGGCTTCTGAAATTCATTAGCATGCTGGTCTCTCTATCCCATAATTGCTACAAGGACATAGCTGTTGGCCTTGTTATGCTGTTATTCACCTAAGACTGGCACTGGGCCAGCAGTCCTGGACGTGAGGGCATGAATGGCTGCTGCAAAAGGATGTCACAAAGTCAGTCATAGCAAGTCAGCAGGAACTGCAGGTGTAGGTGTTTTCTTCTGGAGGCAAACAGATCTTCTTGGAGGACGTGTCCGCTGCTTGTTTGCATCTATTGGAACCATTGTGAGTCTTGGGTGCAGCAAGTTGTTTTAATCTGCCATAGCCCTCCATGCAGTTTTAAGGGTGATGGTGTCTCATAGAAGTTTGCGGGGAATGATATGAGCCAACACTTATAAATTAGATGGTAATGAGGGGTAATAAGGCAACTACTAACGATAAGGGTGGCTGTGTTCGGCTTTGAATCAACTAGATGTGTGTGCCGATTTCTGCCCCTAACTGCTGAGTGATATTCCACTGGAGCATCAGGACTGAGGTTTGTAAAGCATTTGCCTCAGCTCCCCAGGAGGTTCCTGCTAGCATCTGGATCAAGGCAGTGTGGGAGGTGGACATTGTGTTCTAGATGGGACTGGTATGCTAGACTGCGGCCCAGTTTGACTCCTAAATAAGTTAGAAATGGCTGGAAAGGGGGTGGACAATCCTCAGTGCAGACTGTAAGGGATGGATTGGCCAGACAATTGTTTAGATGAAAGGTTGTGTGGCAAATGTCTGAGACTCACTTAATGTAAGTTTCCACTGACAAAGGTAAGCAGACAGAGCATTCATGTCCTGACTGGGTGACCCTTTAATATTATATAGATCATCACCCACCTCAGCAAGACAGACACTATCCACGTATATGCACTTATCAGCTGTAGTTGTTAGTAGGTCATAAATCTATGTGTTGAAAAGGAGATTAGCTAGAAAGGAAAATGTTACAGAGATGCCTAAGCAGGCTGAGTTTATCTCCAATTTACTAGATAATGCTCCAGTTTGTTATCTTTTCTTTGGTGAACCTCACCATGGGCTTACAGGGGATAGTCTGCAACAACTCGGCAGTTGCTTGGTGACCAACTGGGACAGTCCAGACTTGTCTTTAGATCTAAAATTGCCTGCAGACACTTCATTCTGGTTTTGTAAATGATACTTCAGTTGGCCTTGATTGTACAGTGCCATTTTCAATCCTACATTGAACTGCTTCTGACTTTTTGAAATAGCATCATGCCAAGGTATGATACAGAGGCCCATTGGTGCCCGTTGGCAAAGGGTTCACTGTTCTTTACAAGCAACTTACGTCTCAGATCTGACAAAGCCACTACATCTAATATAATAACAGGTTTCAGAGTAGCAGCCGTGTTAGTCTGTATTTGCAAAAAGAAAAGGAGTACTTGTGGCACCTCAGAGACTAACCAATTTATTTGAGCATAAGCTTTCATGAGCTATAGCTCACTTCATTGGATGCATCAAGGTGGGCCATTTCCAGCACAAATCCAGATTTGTGCTGGAAATGGCCCACCTTGATTATCATACACATTGTAAGGAGAGTGATCACTTTACATAAGCTATTTCCAGCAGGAGAGTGGGGTGGGGAGAGAGAAAACCTTTCATAATGATAAACACCCATTTTTTCATGATATGTGTGTATAAAAACAAACATCTTCTGTATTTTCCACAGTATACATCCGATGAAGTGAGCTGTAGCTCACGAAAGCTTATGCTCAAATAAATTGGTTAGTCTCTAAGGTGCCACAAGTACCCTTTTTCTTTTTTCAGTCATATGTTGTCTCCTGGACATATAATGCAATGGGAATTGATATTAACAAATAAGGATGCCAGTGGCTCTGATAACAAGGCAATAATGCATCTGAATGAACAACCAATTAGACTAAAACCCTCAGTAGCTTATTCAGAGAAGGGAAAGGTATCGACAGCAGACATATTGGCTTCCATGCTTTTTTCTCACCATTATTTGAGTAAAACAGAAACAGTATGAGAGATTTTGAACTTCATGGAAAATAATAAAATTGGTCAAACTCAGGGAATAAATTTCATAGGAAACTATGGAAAAGGTAATGTTAATCAAGGCAGATGGAAGAAGCAATGGGATAGTGGTATTTTTAAAGTGGAAATATATTGCCTTGGACTGTTGGAAGGTACTATACCTCTAGATGACCGTAACCCATTATAGGGAACCTGTGTGTTTTTGTACTCATGTCCTGCCATTGTCCACAGATCTGGGAAACAGAGAAATTGGAATTGGTCCGTTAAGATTTTTCCCTCTCAACATCCAGAGCTGGAAAAAGGTGAGCAGACTGAGCTCTTGAAATACAAAGTGGGCCACATTCTTGGCATACCTACACACTTCCTCCTTTACACCCATTTAGACCTTGATTCATTGAAATCTGTAAGAATCTTGTCTTTCTGCTGACTTCAGTAGACTTACATTCAGATACATAAAGAAGTAAAGAAATTAGTTAACACAATTGTATTTCTTTGGGATGCTTCTGCGATGTCAGAGCCTAGTATAGCAATATAATACAGCCAGCCTTTGGCCTTTTGACTAAGAGACCAGGCTCTCTGGAATCAGTGAAACCAGCTTGCTAATTCCAGAGTTGCACCTGCTTATGCAAAAAGTTAATTAGGCCCCCTGTCTAGCAGGGCAGAAACAACCCTGCTGCTCAGAGCCACCAGCCACGATCACAGAAATAGAAAGGAAAAAGAAAAATGAGGATGGTTTATTTCAGCTAACGCGAGAAATAAAGAAAAACAAAGTGTGACCCGTTCTGTATATTAAAACCTGTCAACATTTAAAAGAAGACTCCTGTTGGGCTAAGTTTTCATAAAGGCAACCCTCGCCGCAGCAGTAAGCAGCCCTCCTTTCTAGCTGACGTGTAAATAGAATTCATCAGAGCTCTACATTTGGCTGACCATCAGGATATTCAGCAAATCGACTATGTGGGGAGCTGGGTTAAAAGTCCAAAGGTGGGTGGATGCGTCATTAACAGAGAGAAACTGCTTTGAATGCTGAGAGCTGTAGCT